CTTATCCAGGAGCTCTGCCATCACCTGGTGATCAAACCTCTTTCCTAGAGCAACCAACACCTCAGAGGCTGCAGACTGCCAATCAGGCTCCACTTCCTAAACAGTGATAAATCACAAATTCGATATCACTTTTTTTCTTTTTGATAATCATATTCCTGTACATTAGCTAATGTTGTTTAAAGAACCCCAACTAAATTTCTATCTTATGCTCCATAACAAATTGGCTGAGTTCACACATAGCAAGATTTATATTCACCCTGATCTCTCAAAGCAATGCAAACAAAAGACGATCAGGTAATAGCAGACAGTTCACTGAGAAATCATAATGGAAAAATTTAAATACCAACTTGTTTTTGAATTGAAGTATAACAACTGGCATGATGCTTTTTGGCTAAAATTGGTGGGATTTTTCATGAAAGAAGCACTCTTCATAGTTATTGTGGCAGAGTAGAGGGTACAGGAATGGTGTATTATCCAGCCTGTATTGAAATATCATTGCACTCATCACCACATAACTCATTTCATTTTGTTAAGACCAGTTCACTTCTAAAAACAAACTGAAAATAGACCTAAAATGCAAGAAAATGCATCTTTGGAAGGCTAAGACCCAGAAAGTCCTCCATGCCCTCAAAAACCTATCTACCAGCTTTTCTAAATGATTAATGAATAAAGGGGTAAGTTTCTAAAGTCCTCCATGACATTTCTCAAAACCTATCTACCAGCTTTTCTAAATGATTCATTTACATTAAATTTTATTAGAACCAGTTGTATGGAGCGTTAATTATGAAATCAATTATATTGTTCCTGGTTGAGTTTCCTCATCCTACACAATATCATTACCATTATTATTCTTACCTTGCTCTTGGTCATCTCTGCTGATGCCAACTTGATCATTTGCTTTCCTAAACCCAGTGACAGTGTACTTAGTGTGTCGTGAATAATCTTTGAAGCTGATTTCAGGAGAACAACTCTATGACCCTGGCTCAGCTAAAAACAAAATAATAAAAGATAAACTCATGAAGTAGTCTTATCTTTAGGTAACACCCTCCAGCTAATAAAAGTGTCTATCATCATTTACATATAATATATAACATAAATATTCATATTTCAAGAAGAGTGAAAAGGATAAGGTCAAGTAGTCAAGCTATGTCAAAAAAAGAAAAAGGAGTTGGTACAGTATGTATCGGATTTTCATCAAGTCACTATTCTATCACTGACATTGTCAACATATTTTTTCCTCTCTCTATTCTAAACCCACTGCTTAAAAAAATGGATGCTGAAGTTGATCTATACATAAAATATATCTTAGACAATTAACTCACATCAAATAAAGTTGTCTATAATTTTCATCATCAAACTTACCTTCTGATGTTTGATAAGATATCCCTTGATGGCACTCAGAACCATTTCTGGTTGTTTCTTTCCAAGTTCATGCAGAGATGTCATGATCATTTGTCGCACCTCATGCTGTTTATCATTGGCTGCATCAATAAGAGCCAAACAGAGTTCTGAAGGAAGAAAAATAAACAAGGGTAAAAATGTGCAGATACTAAGTGGCTTTTTAGAGTAAACACTTGATTACATATTAAGAGAGGCAAGTCCCTTGTGTCATAATCTGGGGCAAGACATTTCACTCTCAAAGTTCCTCTCTCTCTATTTAGGAATTTAAAGGGAAAGTCATATGCAGAGCTGTCAAGGAAATCTAACAAAATTCTTAAAGGTTGCCTGCTATGAAAAATCATCCCATCCTAATGGAGTACCAACACCACTAGTTGCTATAGAAACTAACTAGGACAAGTTGTGACAGGTCAAGCCTGTCCCTAAAACTCTGTATGTTGGATCAGTTGGTAGATTACAGTAGGAAATTACTGGGTTTGTTGGTGTATGACAATGTTAGAGGGAATGGATATCAATTATCATAGATTTAACCACTAGCTAAGGAAGCAGCATCCAGGTGAAGTATGCTCCACTTCATGCCAAACTCAAGTACCATCACACACTTATGCACACTGAAAATTTTCCATTGATTCCAAACCAATCATTTTTATAGACATCAGTAATATTTCTGTAAACAATAAGTATTTTTTTCAGATGCTACTCTTGGATGCAGTTCTTCCATAAAAATATACAAATTTGGTTGTTTAGACACTATATACAACTACAAAACAAACCTGCTTACAAAAATGTGCCGCAGAATAATTTTAACTAATGAGCTCATTAAAATGACTTCTGTCTCCAAATCTCTTTGGATCGCCACTCATAGCTCCAGTTCGGATTACCAGCAACTTTCATAAGGGGTCAAGGGGAGGTTGATATATTGATATAATGGATCAGTGCTGCGGGTCATCAGGAGCCATTAACATGTGTTAAATGATGGATAAATTTGCCTCAAATACTTTTATGAGGAACTTTAGAAAACAGTATTGAATTATATAAACCAGCGAAGCTGCCATCGCCAATGACACATACGGAAAGAACAGGGAAACTATTGTGACGATTCATCTACCCTAAATTCACCTTTACTTCATGAACCGCACTTCTTTAAAAGTTCCAGCTTGTAGAAAACTTAAGTTTTTCCTTTTTCCGGGCATGAATTCAGTATGGAAATCAGTGAAATCATGACGTTTGAAGATCACAAGTGTTATTTTACTGAGAATTTAATGGTCACGAGTTTGGAACCAAGCTAAGCGAGATGTAATCACTTACCATCGACTTGGCCTCCTGTTTTCTTCACCTCGTCTTCTGCCATCTTTAAACCTGTTGATAGTTCTTCAAGTCACCGAAGACAAATTCATTCGCGCTGAAAAAGAGCTAGAATTCGAGAAAATACCCAACCACTAAAATGTGGATTTGGAAAACCTTCCCCTCGGAAAAAACCGCAGAAGTATTGAGAACTACCGCAGGCTCAAAGCGCGCCTAAACATAGATCGGGGATCAGCGAAATTACGTCATGGAGTTTATTAGTGAAGATGTTTTGCTGATCATGTTTTCCTTTTTGGACGTGAAATCTCTCTGTATAAGAGTCAGATTTACCGACGTTGGAAAAATATCTCTAACTCCAACATTCTGTGGAAATCGCATGTAGGAGCTTTGCAAACGTCGTAAGATTACAGTTCATCTGGGAAGAGCAAAAGGCTGACAACGCGCTTTGCTCAGCTGATCACAGGACGTTTGTATCCTAGAACTTTTGCAAAGACGGAAAGGAAGTTAAGTTTCAATGCTTTGTGTACCATGCTAATTCCTGTGGAAGCTGGAAAGTTTGTCGAACTGACGATGAAGAAAAAGACTCCAATTCGTGAGCTCGTTGAATCACATGAATTCTCTCACGTTGTTAGAAAGGCATTTAGTTCGCACTCGAAAAGTGAGACGATCAGCATGAAAAGGACATTCTGCTTCAAGAAAAAAGTAGTAGACATTTGAATGAAGGAAAAGCTATCAGGCAGTTGTTAGGATTAACAAAGGGCTCTTTCGATTGGAATATTCAGCCTTCCAATTTTGACAGTTGCATTTCGGAGTTTTTTTAATCGTATTTTTGTCTATAGCACCTTGGTCAATTGATCTCTAGTTTCTTCCACTTGGCTCCTTTACCGTCAATAGTAAGTGAGTTGTGAAATGTAGAAAACATTTAAATATTTAATATTTCACTTCACTTCCAGCCGAATCCTCGGTAGTATAGTGGTGAGTATCCCCGCCTGTCACGCGGGAGACCGGGGTTCGATTCCCCGCCGGGGAGACACAATAAATTTTTTTTTCTTTTAACCTTTCCATCCTTTGATTTAGGAATTGAATCTTCATTTGAGTATTTGAAGCATTTACCCTTTTTTAGGAACACGTTAAAAATTCCCAATGAGAATTATATGATACTACTTATTGAAGAAGACAACTAAGGAGGCGTTTATAGGTACTGTAGTAAACACTTCAAACCATTTTCCTTCATTTTCTTCAAATACAACTCAAGCTACCTTTTTATCTAAATAAAAAAATGCACTGGCCAGCAGTAAACTTTAATTCACCTGAATAAGACGCCTGCACTGTAATCAAGAAATTTTAATGAATGGGTTTTTTACCCGTACCCAAATCTCTATTTGAAAACGTTCACTGTATTTCGTGATCTTTCCTCTATCTCCCACGAGAATTTTCCCACTTGAAATCTTTTAATATTGCCGGATTGTCATTTCTTTTTCCTTAAAAATAACTCCCTGCTAACATTTAAGCGAGTGAAAGTTTCACTCGCAAGAGCCACCTAATTCAATTATCTTCAATTCTCTCGGTCTGTTGTTTCCCATTTGGCTATTTGTATGGACTTATCTCGTGTTTTTTTTTTTTTTCGAATAATATAAATTCTGATAAGTTGAAGAAAGTCCCTCTCTTCAATTTAAACGACTCAACGAATTGTATCTGCCTTTTGTTCTCTGTTATTTGTGGTTCTATCAGTCTCTCTGAAAAAAGCTTTTCTCTCACAAGCGGTTCCCTGTGCATAATTTATACTATTGACATGAACCACTTTTCACCTATAAATGTCAAAGTAGAACACAACTCAAATATTCTCGGTAGATCACCGCGTGAGGGACCCTAAAAAGACTGGATATTAAAGAAATGAATAAGTGAGGCAGCTCGAATAACGAGAAGATGACACGTAGTCGTTAGATGTCAATTTAAAAAAAAAAGTCTTATGAGTGGCATTTAAACATGAGCTAAATGATTTCTTTCGTTTTCAAATATTTGGTTAGCCGTGTTAAATGTTTATTCAGCTACTTGGGTACCCGAGGAATTGAAGATCTAACGGCGAAATAAAAAGTTAAAATAGAGAATTCAAACACTTGAACACCTTAGTAGAGACAAAATTTTCAAAATACACCAGAAATGTTGAAAAATAATTGCAAATGACAAAGAAGTAGAACAAAACTACTTGTCTACCCGCTTAGATCTTTTGTTCGCCGAACGATTACAACACCACATCGAGGTTGCGTGACACTGTACATTATTACCTTACATGTAAATCATGGCGGCTGCACGGTCAACGATCCTTGCGTTTGCCCTAGGTCTTTCGTTTGGGGTTTTTGTCGTTACTGTTCTAAACCGCTTCAATCAGGAGGAGACTATGCAAAAGTTTTTTGTTCCAGAAAAGACCCATGAAGGAGAAATGCTAGATATTACACATAAAATGATTCAGAGGGGAAGTAACTTCAAAGTCGATTCACCAGTGGATTTTAATGTCGACATGAAAGATCATCATCACCACCTTTCTTTGAATAAAGAGGCTCTTGAGGAGCAAAAAAAGATAAAGATTTTATGCTGGGTAATGACGAGCCCTAAAACTCTGCACGTCAAAGGCAAACCAGTTAAGGAGACTTGGGGGAAGCGCTGCAATATTCTTTTGTTTATGAGCTCGGAAGCGGACCCAAAGTTCCCCGCAATCGGACTCGATGTTCAAGAAGGGCGCGAGAACTTGTGGTCGAAAACCCGCGCTGCTTGGGATTATGTTTATACTCATCATCTCAACGATGCTGACTGGTTCATGAAAGCAGACGACGATACGTATGTTATCATCGAAAATCTCCGACATCTGGTGTCTAAAATGAATCCCGACGAACCGCATTTCCTTGGAAGACACTTCAAAACATTCGGAGGGTACAACAGCGGCGGGGCTGGATATGTATTCAGTCGGGAAACAGTTCGTAGATTTAAGAAAGCATTGGGAGATACCTCCATTTGTTCAACTACAAGCTTTGCCGAAGATGTGGAAGTTGGAAAATGTCTCAATGCCGTGGGAGTGAAACCCGACCAAACGAGAGATTCAAGTGGAAGAGAGACGTTTATGCCGCTCCCCCCGGAACACCACTTGATTCCCGGTTATTTACCCAAAGATTTTTGGCTTTGGTCATATGACAGCAACCCATACAAAGAGGGACCTGAGTGTTGTTCAGATCATGCCATCACTTTCCATTACATTAATCCAAACAATATGTATGTTTTAGAGTACATGGTTTACCATCTCAGGCCTTATGGAATGGTTCATGATGATCACTCTTCCACTGAGGGTTCTGGAGGGGCAAAACAAAAATAAACAACTTGATTTTTGGAAGAGTTCAATATGACATACTTTCGAACCTGTATTAAGCAGCTCGATATTAACATTCTAACTCCTAGAAGTGATTCACATGTAACTTCTCCTTTTAAAATTCATACATTAATCAGCAATCAAGTAATGAGAATACTCAGTTTATCAGGTTACATTGTCCCCATCTGTTTGAATGGTCACTCAAAGAGAACCACTCATCAAGTGACTGACAACTCAATACAGGTTCCACTTTAATGTATTTGAAATATATCTATTAGTATAATATATTTGAGAATAGCACATAATGATAAGGAGTTTTATCCAAGAGGAGCTCAGTGTGTTTGATTTTATCATAGGTTTTCAATTTTACTTCCCTCAGATTCTGCATACAATATTTTGTTACAATGAGTTTAAAGTGAAGGTATGTTGAATTAAAGCTAAGCATAAAAATGTACCTCCATGGATATATATTGCAACTTGAGGTTCCTTTTTCCTTTATGATCACTGGTAAGGTAGTTATGAGCTGCAGCTCATCTTATGGTAATTTAGAGTAATTTGGTTTTATCAACTGAGTTTATATCATAAATTGGTCACAGTAAAGAGTTATAAAAGTGATGTTTTGAGTGTTAGCCCTTAGTGGCTCTGACAAAGGGCTACTGCTAGATATTACACATAAAATGATTCAAAGGGGAAGGAACTTCAAAGTTACAGTTCACTTTGAAATTTCCTCTATGGTTTAGCGACCCTCTGAAATGAAAAATGTCCCATCAAAACTAACTCAGAAGGACAAATTGACCCAAAGTAGTCAAATCCTAGCTCAAACCCTGCTTATAGAAATGGACACACTCTGATTGGTATGCCATATCTTTTTATAATAATTCTGCACAAGTTAACTATCATACTGAATTCAAAATGGCCACTGCATAGCTCTTTTGATGTCTATGAGGATAAAAGTAACAGAACTTTCATTGTTTGACATTGGACAATGAATCTCCTCAAGTTCAGTTAATCTTTACAGATAATTTAACATTATTGAATAATATTCACTCCACCCTAGGTGAATAATTAGTGTCACGTAGAAGTTCCTCAGAGCAGGTCGTACAATGAAAAATACTATGTAAATTGAGTGGAATTTCTGACTGGCCTAAAGTGTATTACGAGCTTACATGCAGATAATTTATATTCCTTTTTCTTTGTTTTGTTACAAAAGGAACATTTAAACTGCTTTGTAAATTAGTTCTCATATCCTGAAGGTTGGTTTCAGGGATTTCAATAATTTCAGTGGACATATTTAAAGATGGTTCATTTAACAGAGCCAGAAAATATAACAGGAATTTAATTGTTTTTCTTGCAAAATCATTGAAAATAGTTGAACAGCAGATTTTGTATCTTAAATGCCTTTTAATGTTGAACTCATAATGAACAAGACTTAGCCAAAGGCACTAAATCGTTATGTAGCATTTGGATGTAACAGTTAGAGAAGAAACTATGTGCAAGGGTAATAGTAGTTTATTATAGTGAAATTGCTGCACAACCATGGACTTCTTTGTTACCATGTTGTATCTTGCTAAAATAATAAAAGATATTTTCCATTCAGTGCCAACTCAAAGCTATTAATAATAACTTTTATATTTATCTACATTTGTTTACTGTATCAAAACATTGGTCCAATCATCAAAGATGGCTTGATTGGACAAGAAAGAAGTTTTCTTTTAATTTTTCTTTTCACTTGGCAAAATTTACAGCAGGATATTGTGAAAAGATGGAACCATCAATTGTAGAGGACCTTCATGAACTTGTTTTCACCAGCATAAAGCAAAAGATTTCACACACAGGATAACAAATATATTCCATCCACCGCTCCATGTTCTTTTGAACTGCACACTCAACTGCATTTATTTGATTTGAGAAATATTCATATTAAGATCTGGAAGGTTCAGAAGAAACTCTTGAGGGGTCTGGAATAAACAAGTTGAAATTGTTAAAGATGAGTGTATCTTCAACAAGATAGAGATTTTTAAAAGCCTTCAGTTAGACCTTAAGTGATGATAGACTGGCACAGAGAAGTCATAAATATTTATGAGAGGTTATAGTGAACATTCATAAGGTCTCCTATATTGGTAGCTGTTTTCATCCTGGAAGACATTTTATTCTGACATCATTTCAGCTTCAGCTGTCTTGTTTTTGGCAGCAGTTAGAGGTTGTAAATGGCTAAATTGTTTGTGTTTTCCAATTGGTGTTCCTTTGATTGTTGCAAGAGGTTCTCCAGCCCTATTTTGTATTAAATATGAACACAATTTGATCCATGCAGTCTATTACTGATGATTGATCAAACTCTTTTTATTTAACTCAGGTATGAGAATAATTAACCAGTAATTAATGCACCATGCAGTCAAATAATAGATAAACTATGTTATTCTAGGAACAGGAAAATAATTAAAACTGTATTGTTTAAAATTTGAATAATGCATCAAAGGCAGTCATCCTTGAAGTGTTTGTCTTGAAATACTCTCTCCAATTGTATTTAGTAGTACTTGGTCACAGTTTTGATAAATCAGTGAGCACGTAATATAATTATTACTGTTTTCCCATATAGGTGGGTCAGGCCAACCAGAATATGCCCTTGTTTTTCTACATAATCGATTTTACTAAGTTTTGTGGAACAATTGCACTGTTAGTGAGCAATACGGCCATATTTGACCATCATAAGCTGCTAATGTTCCATTTCATCATTCGACATTTAAATGTTCTAAAATACGGTCTAAGATTTTTTTTATTTGCTTTCTCTTTGTTTCGTTTTTGTTGTCCTTTTTGTTTTATTTGTTGGTTTTTTTTTCTGATCATTTTCTCAACTTTTTTCCTCTCTTTTGTCTTTTCATTTCAAACAAAGATCAAGGAAACTGTCTGATGCAAGGGAAAATGAACATCACCGTGGTTACGATAGGAAATGGCGCGAGTTTTCAGGACCAATCACAGCGCGACGTAAAGTGAATGCACTTTTGGAAACTGTTTTGCAATTAATTAAAATTTTCTCCTTATTCCTGGATCGGAATCATAAAACTGGAGGTTCACTCGAGTGATCGAGCGTCTCTACTAAGTCCTGGCACTTTTCAAAGTTTCCCTCTCGTTTCTTTTTCAGTCTTGTTTTTTCTTACTTCCAATTTACTACCGCCTTAGCAATCACAGAGGGAAGTGTGGATTACTGTTAGGGTTACGGTCAGCATTCACGCACTGAACAGGCAATTCCAGCGGAGCAAAGTTCTTATTCAGTATTTCATATATCGTAAACAGCAGCAATTTGATGAGAGCGAATCTGTCAAACTCACTGATTTATTTATGAAGTACAATTTTTCACAGATGGATACCAAAATGTAAACATAGGTAGGTATTTTACCGGATTTCTGGAGTTTTGCATGTACTAATTGCTATGCATGTATGTGGTGGCAATACACCTTCCCGCGCTTCGACATTAACTTAAGATGTTAACTCTGGTATTGGAAACGCGATCTTTTCCAAAGCTAGTAGCTGCACATAATCATTAAGTTCCCATGTGCGTCAAAAGATCATCTCTAATTAATCCATGTTTCTACAGTAACACTAAAACTATTTCAATTGTGACGTCGAGGAAGGTATGACTTCCTTCGTTGCGGGTCAGTGATTAAGCTAATGCTTAGGTTTCATATTTACAAAAATATTTCTAGCTGCCTTTGTCTAAGCAGGGCAACAAGAGTACGGCATGGCTGATTCGAATACTGTCGGTTTCCTGCTCTTCTGTACTTTAGTTTGTACATTTTTCAAAACGCCGGAGGTACAAGCACAAAACTCAAGCATGTGTAAGTAAAATGAAGTAATTTTTAAAGCGAAACAGCGAGAGACAACACAACTCCACACATTTACGTAGTTAAACCTTTCTAGTTTTAAACGACGTTTTGACAATTTTCGAACCCCTGTTAAGCGAAATGAGACACAAATTTGTAAAAGCTGCCTAATGCTAAGGCTTCAGTCTGGTTTTATGAAGGAAAAATTGTTTCAGATAAAGTTGTATAACGTGCCGAACGCAATATTTCACTGATTTCCGGGTGGTAAAAAATAGCAGTTGTCACGGATACGCGCACATTTCAGCACTTCTGTTCTTCAATTTTGATGTGCTCTACTTGCTTGATAATTTGCATCATCTTTATAAGACGTGTCTAAATGACTTAACGAGATTATTCCGAGCTAATTATGAGCAAGACTTCCATGTAAATGTGAGATATTTGAGCAGACAAACCACTTATCATGTTGATTGGAAACAAACACTCGAACGAAGAATGTTTAAAGCAAGTATAGTATGGCCTCTCGAGAGTGTGACATTTTTTTTTCCTTCATTGTTTTTCGATTCTCGTTTCCTTGTATTTTGATTGATTGCTAGACTGTTTAAAATAAAACAGTGGTGTCTAAAGTTATATTTCAAATCGTTCGACCATTTAATTGACTTGTTCTGAATAACTTGCTACCGCACAAAGACACAGCTTGATCACGGATAACCTTTCGTGTTCGAAAATGGGACTCAGTTTTGTATCTATTTTTCTCTGTTTTAGCTGCAATTTCCACTCTAGACAGGAGCACACCTCAGAAGTCAGGTAAGTCTTTGTCTGAGCTAATTTTCATCAAGAAACGAGTTACAGGGTTTGATGCAGAGAACTAGGGTTTGAAGCCGTCACGGTATCCTGACCTCGCTGTTTCTTATCAATCATTAATCCGACCACGATCAATTTCAAGACCGTCCATTTCGAGGTTCATTTCAAGATTTGTTTGTATGTACAAGTTTCGCATTGATATATTCTTGCTATCTCTGGTTCGAATACAGAATTCATCTCCTAAAGCTCTAAGTACTAACCTAACACCAATGCACTTTATTCGGCTACATGAGTATAATCCAATTACGATTAAAATGAATACCAAAAGATTCACGAAGTCCACTTTTTTTTAACCAAGAACTGTAGCTTAAAACAAAACAGTGGTAGATATGTCTAAAGTTATATTTCAAATCGTTCGACTATTTAATTGGCTTGTTCTGAATTTAACTTGCTACCGCACAAAGACACAGATTGATCACGGATAACCTTTCGTGTTCGAAAATGGTACTCAGTTTTGTATCTATTTTTCTCTGTTTTAGCTGAAATTTCCACTCTAGACAAGAGCACACCTCAAAAGTCAGGTAAGTCTTTGTTTGAGCTAATTTTCATCAAGAAACGAGTTACAGGGTTTGATGCAGAGAACTAGGGTTTGAAGCCGTCACGGTATCCTGACCTCGCTGTTTCTTACCAATCATCAATCCGACCACGATCAATTTCAAGATCGTCCATTTCAAGGTTCATTTCAAGATTTGTTTGTATGTACAAGTTTCGCATTGATATTTTCTTGCTATCTCTGGTTCGAATACAAAATTCATCACCTAAAACTCTAAGTACTAACCTAACAGCAATGCACTTTATTCGGCTGCATGAGTATAATCCAATTACGATTAAAATGAATACCAAAAGATTCACGAAGTCCACTTTTTTTTAACCAAGAACCGTAGCTTACAGTTTAAGGCAGAGTCGGTTGTGTTGTTAGACTGTAAACACGTATCTTTCCGAAGTAACGTCCTCTTGTTTTCGGACAAGCAGTATGTGAAACAGATGGAAAATTTGGGCACCAGGTCGTCACCTTGGTATTGCAGAATTTCAAGAATCTACTGTTTGCTCCCACACACATATCTTGTGGCAAAACCTCACTGTAGCGTTTAAAAAAAATTCTATGATAAAAAGAGTAACCACAGGTGAACTTGTCAAAAATTGGATAAAAAAATTTCAGTTACCAAAATCGGGCACAAAAGAAAGCATCTAACTTACCTATGGCAAGACAATAATTATTGTACCTTGAAGTGGTTCAAATTTAGTGATTTAAATGTTCCAGCTCTTAGGGTCTCCCTTCTACACATTATAAGAGGGTTGAGCCCCGGCGGCTAAGGCCACGCACGGGCTCAACCCTGAATGGGGCGCAGATGAGTGTGTCCAGTGATTGGACTATGCTTTAGGAAGGACTGATCTCTGTTTCGAGAAATGGGTAAAATTTGGCAGAAGGGAATAATTTCACCATGATCGGTAGAATTTCGTGGAAACACGAGCGAGGTTCTTTTATTGCTGTTGTCGCTTTGAGTGGTTTTACATATATACCACAGCCCCTCGACCAGCGCCCTTGCACTGATAACAGAAGAATTAGAGCAATTTAAATCAAGGAGATGAACAATCAAACTAAATTAAAGGATGTAAAGATAACCGTGTTAAAAATTGGCTGTTGATCGGTTCAAAGAATTTACTCAAATGTGATTACGATACTAGCTAGGTACCAATAGATAATAAACTATGTACGGATATCGAGCTGCCCAGATTATCGCCAATTGATTTTAACAGAGGATCTCCAAATCTGACCATAGTTTATTTTAGTTATGAACATTTATAAAATAGGCTGAATCATACACTTGTTTTGATTGGTTCTTGCCCATAAGCTATTACAGAACAAACGCATTGATGACTTCACCATCAACGACATTTTGCTTCTGTATTTATTATATAAAACAAATAGACTTCGTGTTGCCGTGGGTCTGATGTGGTGAGAACATCTGACACACTCGTCTGAGCCTTATGTGCTACTTCCGTCTTCCTACCGGCCACATGTTGACGTCATCAGTGATCTATCACCGAACAGAAGCGCGGCAACATGGAATCCATTTGATGAACATACTAATTATTGGCGAAATAGTGGAATATTTGATTACATGCTTGTGAATTATCGTTACTATAGATTTGCTGAAGCCGGAAATCTATTTACTGATTACTTCTAGGACAGAATTTTCAAAACCTCCAAGTCTTATTGTATGGAACATCAAGAAAGCCTACCTAAGCATTGAATTACCGGGTACCCTCAGCAAATCAGTTATAGACTGAATTACTGAACACCTATAAAAACCAGCTGAACCGTTCTAGAACCCTGATAATCTAACCATTAATTCTCCCAACTCACGACTCTTCATTACCTTGTTTACAATTATTAATAGTTTAATGATGTATTAATTAACAGTTAATAGTTTAATGATGTATAAAGAAAGTGATTTTATTGCCTTGATTATAACTCTTTCAATCCTTAACTTTGCTGGAAAGAGAAATGACGTTAACGTTGCACTCGATTGGGATTCGTGAGTGAGGCGTGATTTCATGAAAGTCTCAAGGTTTCCCAGAAACCTCGCACACAAAAAGACAGATTTGAATTTCTCCCTTTTAAATTCGTGACTCGTGAATTTTCCTAAGCAGCCCAGATCAGGAACACCCCCCGCCCCGTCTCTTGGCTACCCGCTTATTGGTCATTCTTCAAAATCGAAATGAAAGCCGACAATGAAAAAAACCGCTGCTCAATCCCTGGAGGGGCACGCGGTGAACTATGAGCTGAAATTCATACTTGATTCAGTTAAGAGACCTCGATGTAAGCTTAGTCCAAGCACTCTGGGTGTGAAATTCACATAGGTGATAAGAGCATAGTAACGCAAACACGATAAAATTAAGTAAACTGCCGACTAGTGCCGACTGCCTTGATTAATTCAAGACTTCTTTCCAGTTTCTCCCTTCTTAGCTGTTACGGTAAGCAGTACGCATGGCTTTACGCAAATTGTATCAAATATCTCGTCGAGCCAGTTCCCCTCACCACAGGTCTCCTCATCAAGATATCTGGTGACACCATCTTCCATATTTGGGGCTTCTTCAAATGAAAGCATCTCCACCTCACAAAGCAGTTCATCATCGAGTTTGATAATAGTTCAGCAAAAATCCTCAAGAGCCGCGAAAAATCATAGCACAGCGACGAGTCCTGTCGCAAATCATAGTACAATAATAAGTTCCACGAAGATAAAAAGCACAGCCATCAGTACAAGAACTAAGCAAAGCTCGACCATGACCTCATCTCAGGTGACCAATGAGAAAACTATAACCATTACTCCTTCCAAGTCTCAACCAACGAGCAGCTCTGTGAGCGCAACAGTGATTACACCTACAACAAGTACCCCAACCAAAGGTTAGTTTTTAGATTAAGCAGGTTTTGCGCAAAGGCGTGGCCGAGAGGTTCAGGCTGATCGGTGATGGATTTGAAATCTGTACGTGACAATCAGTATCAACAACTGGGCATAGACTCCTCGGTGTAAAGTACTAAATCAACATCTGGGCACAGACTCCTAGATGTAAGATATTTTACTATAAATATCAACATCTGGGTACAGACTCCTCGGTGAAAGATATTTTACGATAAATATCAACATCTGGGCACAGACTACTCGGTGTAAGATATTTTACGATAAATATCAACATCTGGGCACAGAATCCTCGATGTAAGATATTTTACGATAAATATCAACATCTGAGCACAAACTCCTCGATGTAAGATATTTTACGATAAATATCAACATCTGAGCACAAACTCCTCGATGTAAGATATTTTACGATAAATATCAACATCTGGGCACAAACTCCTCGATGTAAGATGTTTTACGATAAATATCAACATCTGGGTACAGACTCCTCGATGTAAGATATTTTACGATAAATATCAACATCTGGGTACAGACTCCTCGGTGTAAGATATTTTACGATAAATATCAACATCTGGGCACAAACTCCTCGATGTAAGATGTTTTACGATAAATATCAACATCTGGGTACAGACTCCTCGGTATAAGATATTTTACGATAAATATCAACATCTGGGCACAGACTCCTCGATGTAAGATATTTTACGATAAATATCCACATCCGGGCACAGACTCCTAGTTGTGAGGTATTTTATTATCAATATCAACATTTAGGCATAGACCCTTAGATGTTGGGTACTGTACGACTAATACCACAGCTGGGCGCAGAGTCTGATATAAGCTATTTTACGATCAATATCAACATTTGGGCGCTTTCCCCCTCTTTGTCAGTCAGTTCATTGGATTTGATAAGTGAAAATTTATGCGCTCATGAGGAGATAAAAAAAATAATCATACCTCCTCGATAGAGGACGAAGCAGTCGGCGAAATGTGAAAAAATCGTGAACTGTAGTTACATGCTTTGCCAGCCGGGTTATCTGAATGGATTGGTATGCTAAAGTGATGAACGGTGAAGCCCTTCGAAGCCTTTCTACTGAAGATAAGTTTATCTTTTCGTAGTCTTGAAGCTTCCCTGCTCATCGCTTAGCGCACAAAAAAATGCTAGTTACACAGGCTTATGCTGTACACAGACCTCAAAATTGTCTCTTTTCAATTTGTTTTCGTGTCGCACCTACTCAGCTGTCTTTATTCTTGTTTTTTTCTCAGGATCTGCACTGTTTTCTCAAACAGAATACATCTTGACGGCATGTCTTGTTGTGTTCTTCTTCGTATTAATTGCCACAGTCGCTCTGGTTATTCAAATTGCTTTACTTCACAAGTCCTTGAAAAAATTAAAGGCTAAAAGTCACCGTTAGAAGCCAGGATCCTTACAACGAAGGCAAATATTTCCTCTCAGTTTTTTCTGTCAAATACGAATAGGTTGTTAAAAACAGTTTTATGTAATGACGTATAGGGTGAGCTGCTCGCTTAGGAACTGTAATTATTGATAGGAGGGTAGGTTTGAAAAGGGTTACCAACTTAAACGCAGGGAAAAAGAAGGAGCACAGAAATAATACAAGAATATTCCTTAAGGAAGCTTTCAGTAAACCTGAAGTATGTGAGGTGAAGGGGAATCAGCCAAAATTTACCTCTCACCTCTGATTCTCCCTTTTTTCTTGTTTTCTCCCCCCGTTTAGAGATCAATGCCCTGTTGTTTATTCCTCAAGGGTTGGAAGCCCTGATATTTTCTCTTTATATTCTTCGAGTCTCAGTTAAAGAAACGATTTTGTAAAAGCTGTTATTACAATCATTCTTTTGATTTAAGGAACATAAATGTTCTACTCTAACTGAATTAGTAAAAATTTTTATGACTCCTGAACGCCTTAATTGAAAACCCTTTGCCTTCTCAGATTGGCTGGGCTCCTCCCTTGTAGCTTCCATGACAGCTCAAAGTAGATTTTTGTAATGAAAACAATTGAGTGCTTTATTAGCATTAAACCCTCTAGTCTCATAATCTGCTTGTTGGATGATGTATTGAGTTAACAACAGCTTACAATTTAACAGGGTTGAAAATGTTTTCTCTCCTTTTACATGTGGACACGTTGCATTCAGAGACATTAGAACATCTGTCTATACGTTTCTATTCTTATTAAGTTTTGTCTACCAGACGCGGGCATTTTCTGCCTTCACTGACGCTGGTTCTTAGTCTTATAAAATCTAGACTACGTGCAGTCCCTCTGCGCGCCTCACTCCCTCGTTCTACGCGGCGCGCTTACATTAATTTTTTTCACTGATTTTCTTTTATTTTTTGACTGGTGTGTGTGACTTCGCCAAAAAGGAGGGACTGCACGTAGTCTATATAAAAATTGCAGTCACGAGCTTTAGACTCATATTTTATTTAAGTATTATATTCAACTTGGTTTATTTTTAGCTAGTTGACTGATTACTACAGGGCTTTGTAATATCTGGAAAGGCAAAATAAAATGTAGTAATTATTAAAGATTCCTTTTTTGTCGCGTAATATCTTGAGTAAAAAAAGCTAACTCCTTTGACGAAAGGCTAACCCTCGAAACGAAGCTTTAGAAACTCTCTGCATACCGTGGCCAATGAACATCATTAACTCAAACGAAATTATCTTACAACCCCTTCCCCCCCACCATCCATTGACACCCCCCCCCCCCACCACTTCACCACCTACTAAACACAGCAGCAGAGTTTCTTTAGAAACTTTCCCTCATTACTCCTCTGAGTTTGGAACTTTGTGATTTATTGCACTACCACGTTTATTTGGTTATGCCTGTCTCTAAAAGCTTTTTTAACTTTTCAGAATAACACGCTTTAAAAATGTATTACTTTTATCATTTTCTACCATCAACGATAATAATCTCTCTAGAGTTGTGGTATTTTCAGGGGTGAGAGGTTACGGAAAACCTAGGAGAATCTAAAAAAGAGTGAAGAGATCTTGATTAGACATTTTCCTCACGCGTCTAATCCATGCAGCGTCCATCAGCAGCAGCAGCAGTCCTTGTTCTGCTCATGGCTGAATGTTTCTGGGGCTTGCGTAGTCAAAGTTTCGTGGTTCTAGATGGCTGACATTCTTATTGCAAGCCAAGTTTTTCGATTTTCTATTTAAATGGCGTGACATTAGTTAATATTTTCAAAGTTCTTGTTTGTCGAGTCTCGAATAGGAAAGTCACACATGAAAAGATTCATTGACGGATATTTTTGGAGTCATAGTACAAACTAATACGTTCCCTTTCAGTTCCGTCCTTTCGTAACTTAACTGCGGTACGCAGGCGTGGCCAGTAAAAAAGTGTCATCTGCTGCACAATAATTTTCATGCTGCGTGATAGCCTTCCCAGGTGTTCAATTAGTAAAACGAAGTGCGCCAGTAAACGGCACGATAAGAGCGGAGGAGTGAAAGAACGAAGGGGGGCTTGGTTCGGGTGACTGCGGCTTCCAATGCTTTCGTCATCCACAATCTAGGAATGCCTTCTCCTCTAGGATATATTCATTCTCCAAGATAACACCCAACTCAGTCATTTGCCTGAATATTCTTTTGACGAAATGCACTGCAATGGGTAACGCTGCAGATTTTCTGCGCATGCCCAGCGAAGAGACCGCGCTAAAATAGGCCATTCCTTTTTACAAAATTTTGTGCCTCACGAAACTAGTTAGTGAAAAACCATGAAGCAAAAGTAACACACCCACAAGAAACATAGCAACAGATCGCTTCTAAATAAAAGACGTTACATTTTATTGCAACAATCCTTCACTGGCTTCTTTGAAGTTCTATGAAAGCTATTTTCATTGATATCCCTTTTTTGGGGTTAAGCGTATTTTCAAATTGTCCACTTGATACTATCAGTATTTGGAGTTATGTACTAAGAACAGGTTCCAGTTTTGGCCATTGTTTCAATCTTTTCTGCCAACTCGAGGCAGTAAAGCACTCGTTTCTTGTCTTGAGCAATTTCATCAGAGCTGCGCTCCCCCTGTACCTCAGAGAGAAATATCTCTAGATCCCTTGCAAACAGTCCCTTGTGGCCAGGGGGAGGTGGACCAGAGGGTTTGGAAACAGGCGCTGGTGTCACAGTAGTACCATCTTCAAATTTATACTCCTGGGATGCTTGCCTTGGTTTCCCACCGCGTACTCGTTCACTTATCCAAGTTAATGGCCTACAAAATGATTTATAATCAAAAAATAATTCAATTGGGCAAAATGCAGCCCCAGTAACCATAACCTTCAACATAACTTTTGGAGACACCCTGCTTTTTTTCAATAAAAAATAACAATTACAAAACTTCCCCCTTCTCCTTATGACAAAATATGCCTTTTGGTATGTATGAAGGGGGAGCAATTGAAGGCAAACATGGAATTGAGTCATATATTCTTCGGCAGAATTGCTTTCAAAAAATTTTTGGCCAAGAGTATGTTTATTAATCAGCCCACATAATACAAATATGTCCACTGCAATTAGTAATAGATGAAAATTGTTACTCTTTCACAACAAAACATCCCACTACATTTTTTTTGTTTTTGCACTCTCTTCTTAAGGGGTCTGGAGTCATGCTCCCCTGAAAAAAAATTAAATTTGAAACTCTCTAAAGACAATTTCTAGCACTCTGGGACAGATTTGAATTGTGTAACTTTCTTTAGCCAAACAATTGTATCAGAATCAATAAAAAAGGCTAATTTTCTGAAATGTCTAACTTACCTGTTGTCTAAGGTGTGTAATTTACAAGTAAGGCGATGAAGATCAGTTTCATGTTCAAAGTGAGCTTCTTGTAATGATAGCTCACCAAACAAATCATACAAAATTTCCAATTGTGAAATTCCAGAGAAACTTGGAAACCCAGCTCGCCTTATGTCAGCAATCCACTCCTTGAGAAATCTGGCATCTAGACGAATGGTACCCTCAATAAAAGGAACATTTTTATTTTGAATAGTGTGCTTCATATCCTTGTGGGAATCAAGAAGAAGAGCTATGTCTTCAACATGACAGGTCAACCCTGAAAACCAAAGAAAAAAACTTCAAAACCATTCCACAATATGGCTCACTGAATGGAAACTCTACTTTGTTTCTAGGAGGGAATTTTACAATCTTAGCCAACACAACCACAAACCAAAAACAAGGGGGGTGAAAATGGAAATTAAAAGCAACTGGCAGGAAAAATGGCCCTAATTGCTACTTATTTAAGAACATAAAAATAACAGTTCAAAAAATGCTGTGAAAACAATGTCTGAACAGGTTGCAGTCCCCTCTTACCAGGCCCTTCTAAATCAGCTTATACAAACAGACCATTAGTTCCAGTAGCCATTTTATATAGTCTTGACATAATATTTTTCCCTACAAGATCTCCCATACTACACAACATCACAAAAAGGAAGCAGAAAATCAAATTATTTCTAATTCTCAAATTATTTCCACGCATAAAATATATCATGAAGAAACATCTGTATATTAAGTAAGCCTGATGTAAATTATTTCACATTCTTATCACACCCAAGGACACACATTAAACCTATAACTATATTCAGGTATTTCACAGTTATATACAGAAAATTTTATGTACATACCTTTACTTTCTGCTAAATCAAAGATCTTTTTACCACCCTCCGCTGTCAAACATAGAGGAAAATCCACCAAAACATGCTTTCCATGTTCTAGGATTTTTCTGTAAAATGAAAATTGTGCTATAAGAGAATTGGCCAAAAGGAAATAATAAGGACACAGAAGATAGAGCCTTCCACAATACCTATAACATATGCTAATTAACCACTACATTATTACATCTCCCAAGTTTTGATGAATTAGGAAGAAGAAAAAGTCATTTATAAGATCATGATCACCTGGCATACTCTTCATGGGTGTCATTTTCTGTACAAATGACAAAAGCATCCACATCATCTCTTGTCAAGGCTTCATCCCAGTCTAGAACAGGTAGATCATCTTCTACTTGCCTCCTATTAAAATTATTAAATAAATGAAATCACCTAAAAAGTATAATCAACTACACAAAATAAACCATCCACACAAATAAATAGAATTAATTTAACCTATTTCATTCAAAAATAACTTTAAGCATACCTTCATTCATGCAAAGGTAACTGTGGGTGACTAAAAAGTATCACAGACTTACTTGAATACATCTGATCAAATTTGCGCTGTAGGCAGGGTCAAAAGACTCACGGGTTTTAAAATCCTTTTTAAAACAGTAAACTAAATTACATTCTTCTCAGCTCTCTTTCAATGGAAACTAACTCGAGATCAAAGAATTAAACTACCAAACCCTACTACACAGCAAGCTGTTTAAATCATCATAACATGCGATGGAATATCCGTCCTCAATCCTTCACACCCCTCCTCCCCATTCCCGCCTGTCATGAACTCTAAATGGGCTTTCAAAGAGCTATATAATTCTGGGGTTGCTTCCGCCATCTACTTTGAGGGAAAGAAGCAAACGATTATGAAAAGGCATGCGTAAGTGTATTACCCAATAAGTTAACAACCACTGAATCCGATCAATCTCACCTGGATATCACTCCACGAAGAACAACACTGTCTCCTAAAACTTTCTGCTTCAAATCTCTTACTCTGACTTTTCCAGCGATTCCTAATCCAACAACCACGATACCTAAAGGCTTTTCCGTCATATCTATTCAATCTCCACCTTCCTCCTCTTGAAAGTCACACGAAAAATTAGCGTCGTCACATTTTCCGCTTTATAAAGACATCTTACATAACAATATCAGCTGTGAACCTTGTTATTTTGAGGCCAATTTTTTTAATATAC